TTTCTCCGATTCCCTCATGGAGTCTGGTGTCTGGGTCTTTGAAACACTGCTATGTGATTGCAGTGCCGTAATGCAAGGAAACATCACTCTTGGTCGAGTTTCGTTCCGCTTGGATTTATGTTCAAATGACGCTGGCTAAGTCCATGGAAATGAAAGCTTGGCTCTTTATTCTTGACGGGTTTCTTTTTATTTTGTTCCATCTTAGTTTGGAAAATGTTACGTGATGTGGGTAAGATCTGAAAATTTACTCTCTTGTGTGGACTGGCGTGGTCTGGCATATTTTGTGGGTAACATGCCGAGACGCGTAAGAGACATGTGTTTTCAAGGCAAAAAGGAATGCATTAAAATGAGCAAGAAATAGAGCAAGAAACAGAGTTTTTAACCAATTGCCATGACAATGAAATGTATATGTTGCTGTGTGTTTCTGGTACGTTCGAAAATATAAAATGAAAAGGATGGGAAATTCTGCTGAGCAAGAAGGGTGGACGACAATGTTTTCTCCATTTAGGTGAAAACTGCTGAGGATCTGTTATTTTCAACCTTGTGTGTTGCTTTTTTTTTTTTTTTTTCAAATTAACATTCAATCATTGTACGCTTTTACAGCATACCATGTGGTTTTCCAAAGCACATATGCAGTGCATGGCAGTCAAAGATAGTACCCTACACATCACCCTTAAATAACTGTCCATTCTTGTGCCTGTTCAATATTTTGTCTATTTTTTTTCCTGGGTCCCTTCTCCCCTCAGTCCACTCCCTCCTGCCAGGTTTCTGGTCTAGACACATGCGAACTCTGCTGTTCTCTTTCCAGTCTTTTGGTTTCTACGATAAAGTTCAGAATTTGCTTTATGTTGAGTGGACCCATGCAATGTCTGCCTGAATTGGGTGTTTTAATTTAGGTCTTTGTGTCTATTTTTTTTTAAAATTATTCCTATGTGAAAACACTAACCTATGAAACAGCCCATGAGGTGGAGAAGGGGAAAAAGGCATTTCTAACTTAGAAATGCACCTGACTGGCAGGTGTCCCTAAAGTTAGCGTTTAGAGCACTGTGGTCATAGCACTGGAAATTCCAGGGTGGGTTTTGCATTACAGAAGACAAACCCAAATCCCTCCGTCTGAATTTTGCAACTTGCTTGTGTTCTGCTCTTCTCGCCATGTCAGTTGTTCTACGCCAGGTCTTTGTAGAGGAATCCTAGTCAACTGTCACATAAGGATGATCACCTGCTTCTCTGCATATTTTATCAGACACCTCTGACTGGTTGCTTTGCGGCTGGTTTTTGAAATAGGAAATCGGGTGTTGTGATGTTTTAGAAAAGGTGCGTTCTAACAAAGGAGGCGGGAAGAGGAAAGAGGAGTGTGGAGGCATTGTACATGGCCTCTCAAAGAGACCGGTGTGCCTGCTGTAGGAATCACACAGAGTGTGGCTTGGCCGCACTGAAGAGGTGCTAGGGGCTCTGACTCCTGAAGGCATCCGCTGACTTTGAGCACATTCTGGTTTGGGTGGGCTGACAATCTTCTGTTCTACACACAATGCCCTGATGTTTCTTAGAAGATTGGATTTCAATGGGACCAGCCATTGCTCTAATGGCTATGTCGTTGGACTCCCATTAGTCAACCGCGGTTCACGTCCCAGACCTGGTGGCTTAAACTCACGCCGGGCGCATGTGCGTGTGTGCCCAAGATCCCAAGAGGAGAATGGAGGAGAAGAGATTGTGGCATGGCCATCCCCCCTGGGGGGTGATATCTCACTTTCTGTCCCTCTGTCTCTCTCTGTCTTTCTGGTGAGTGCATGCACCCTATAACCAAAACCTAAAGAAACTGATTCCTCTTTCCCAGAAAGCAATTCAACCCTGTGGTATCTTATCCCTTGTGCTCATTCACGAAGCAATGGACAGATTTCTCCATGTAGTGTGGAAATGGTACACACCTTCCTTTTGTTTAGGAAAAGAGGGGGAAAAAAAACTCATTGAGCAACATGAAGTCTACCTTGTGCTATTGAGAGTTTAATACCAAAATCTCTATGAGTTAACCGAGGGTAGAAACAGGAGCAGTAAGGAAATAAAAGAAGCAATTGAGTGTCTTCGTGCCGGTCTATTGACATTCTGGGAAGGAGCCAAAGGGAGACAGACCTACTCTTGTTGAGTGGGGTGAGACCTGCCAGAGGTGCTGCAGTAAACATGCTGGGCCCCCCCATTGGACCTGGCTGGTCTCGATCACAGCTTACATTTACCATCGCCCTCCCAAGGACTGGTACATAGCATTTCCTGCACCTCTTTATTTATTTATTTATTTATTTTTTAGTTTATGTTTGGATTTTGCCGTAGGGCACATGTACTCACCCAAGAGAGAGTAAAAGTCAGAAATCACTCCCCCTGCCATCCCCGGAGACGATGGCCATACTGCAATCCCTTCTTCCCCATTCTCCTCTCAGGATTTTGGGCATGCATGCACACATACTAGGTGTGATTTTTCAAGCCAGTAGGTCCAGGACTTGAACCGTGGTCACCCATATGGGACTCCAGCACCTTAACTACCATGCCACCGGCTGGCCCATTTGTTGCTTCTGGGATACTACCATGATTGCTGTTAAACAATCATTTTATGTATCTATTGACTCATTGACTTATTGATTTTCATTTGACCAGAGAGGGACAGAGAAAGAGAGAGAGAGAGAAAGCAAGAAAGCAAGCCGCCAGGTCGGTGACTTGAAAGGTCCTTAACCACGTGGGAGTCCAACACCCTGAATCACCACGTCACCTGTCACCTGCTGGCTCTGAGTAGTCCTTTTAAACCTCTAGCATCCAGATATTTAAAAAGATGACCTAGTAAAAATGTACAGTGCCTACCTCAACGATTATTTCAGGGAAGTGCATTTAAAACAAAAGGATGTGTTTACCACCACCAGGTGAAGTGTTCTTTGAATATTTTTCTTCCCCAAATTAGCCATACATGCATGGATGCTGTTTTCCTACTTAAGGAGTAAAATAAATAAATATGTGTGTGTGTGTGTGTGTGTGTGTGTGTGTATGTATATACACACATACAACCTCATATGGGGGTGGAATGGTGATCCAAGTGTCTGCAAACATTTTTACTCACTCCTTGCTAGGGTCTGACACGGGCCTGACATCCTCAGAGCAATAGGAATATAAAAATGAAGATGATAGCCTGGGCTGTTTTCTTGAGGAAAAACATTTTTTTATAACCAACACAAGATTCTAATGTTTTCTAGTGCTTAAACAAAATATTTAAGCAAATTAGGAGGAAGGAGAAATTGTGTGTTATGTATTGACATTTGTTCTGTATACATTCTCTCAGCTATGTGGTAAAAAGGCATGTTTTTGTTAATGAAAATGTTACGTGCTGGGGCCAGCAGGTGGCATGGTGGTTAAGGTGCTAGACTCTCACAG